ACCTGCCAGCCTGGCCAGGGTCGCGTGCTGCCATCCGGCCCCGGGAGCTGAGCCCCAGGGCCGCCCGTGACCCAGGCCCCCGGGAGCTGCACCCCAAGGCACCTGTGACCCGCCCTGGCCTGGCCTGGCCTGGCCTGGCCTGCGCCAGCCTGAGTCAGAGGCGTCCCCTCCCACCGGACGCCTGGCCAGCACAGCAGGAAATGGTCCAGATTGCTCAATGTGCCCGGGTCTAAAGGCTGCTGCCCCTGGTGATGCTGGAAGTTGCCCGCGCCCAGCGCCAGCACCAGCCCCGGGAGAAGCGCCGGGGATCTGGCCATGCTGGCCCTGCGCCTGCCCCTCGTCCTGTTGCTGCTGGCGCCGGCACTGCCCGAGTCCCTGCCTGCCAAGACCGTCTCCCAGAAGGAGGCCGAGTTTGACAAGATCTACTCGGACTGGGTGAACAGCGAGCTGGTGAACATCTACACCTTCAACCACACCGTGCTGAGGAACAGGGTGAGCACCGGGTCGGGGTGGGCAGCCGGCCCCTGCCTGGGGCCATGCAGGGCGGGATGGGGCGCTGACAAGGGAACGGGGTGAGGGCTGCGGCCCGCGCCCCAACGTGCCACTCTGCTCCAGCCTGGTCCGGCCCAGCTGTGCGCGGGGGGCAGAGAGCTGTGCTGCGGGTCCAGTCTCTGTGCCCCACCATCGCCCGGCCAGGGGTCCTGGGGTTCCCCCGGGGCAGCACGCCTCTCTCCGTGCCCCATCCCTCGGTTGCTCAAGTCTCAGCTCTGTCCCATTTCACGTTCCCCGGGTTTGCACAACAGGCCAGGCCGGGTTGCACAAGCTGCAGGAAAGTGACTTGATCGGCGCCGAGGAGGTTACTTCAGGTCCTTGCCTCGGCTGCCGGGCTGGGTCCCGAGCACCTTGCACGTTCATGGCGGGCGCTGCGCCCACCCCTCCCCTGCGCCCAGGGCTGTGGGTCTGGCCTGGCGGGACCCTCTCCCTGCAGGGCTGCTCTGCTCGCCCCCCACAAGCAGGAAGTCGCTCGCGGGGCCTTTGCTTCTCCTGTCTGCAAACACAGCAGATTAGTCAGGCAGGGCTGAGCAGCGAGGGAAGCGCCCACAGCCCTGGGCTCCCACTGGGCTCCGGGACTCTGGGGCTGCAAATTCACCTGCTGCACAGGGCAGTGGCTAGGGTGGCTGCGGTGCTGGCCGTGCCCTGTCCCGGGGGCTCTTGAGGGCTGTGCCAGGCACCGGTGGCACTTGGAAGGTCACTGGCGGTGCAGAGCGGGCACGTCCCCGTTCTCCCCCAGCACCACGTCCCCCAGGAAGCCCCGGCGCCGGGCAGGGGCTCTGCCTGAAGGTGTTTTGCAGCTTGAGGTGGGCGGGGAGCTGGCCTGGTTGCAAGGAGGGCGTGAGCCAGGCCAGCGTCCCCCTTGCTTTGCCCGCAGACCGAGGGCATCCGGGTGTCGGTGAACGTGCTGTCCGAGCTGAAGGACACGCCCGTGCTCTTCGTGGTGAGGCAGAAGGAGGCAGTGGTGTCGTTCCAGGTGCCGCTGATCCTGCGGGGCCTGTAAGTACCCCTGTGCGGTGCGACCCCGGGCTGGTGGGCCCACGCCGCGGTGCTGCAGGCCCCGGGGACTCCTCCGCCTGGCTGGGCACAAGGCAGCGCTGGCGCAAGGGGTCTGCTTGGGGCAGCTTCATGCCCAGCCCTGAGTCCTCTCCCTGGGCATCCTGCTGGGCCGTGCGTGGCAGAGGGGGCCGTGCGGGGTGCTCCCCGAGGTGCTGGAGGGGTGGTGATGGAGCCGCTCCGTTGGGCGGTGGCTGGGGGCTCTGCCGGTGCCCCCGAGTGACCGGCCTGCGCGCCCCCACTGTGCAGCTACCAGAGGAAGTACATGTACCAGGACGTGAGCCGCACGCTGTGCCAGCCCCAGGCCAAGACCGAGTTGGAGACGCAGTTCTTCTACGTGGACGTGTCCACGCTGTCCATGAGGAACGCGTCCTACCAGCTACGGGCCACCCATGTGGAGAACTTCGTGCTCAGGTGATGGGCAGGGAGATGCCCCCCGGCCATGCTCTGCCCCCCAGCCTCCACAGCCTCCCGCTTGCCTTGGCAGCCTTCCCGGCAGCCAGCCCTGGACCTGGAGCAGGCCGGCCGGCCCCGCTGCCCTTCACCGGCTGGACGCGGGCGTGGGGGGGCAGTGGGCCACAGAGTCTTGGCCGTGCAGGACGGGGCGCTCTCCCTCCTCTCGCTCCCGATTCTGACGCTCTCTCTGCACAGGACGGACGAACGGTTCAGCTTCAACGCCACGGCCGCCCAGCCACAGGTAATGCCCTCCCAGCACCCGGGGCCGTGGCAGGGAGTCGGGGGGGCACGTGTGCAGCAACGTGGCCAGGCCCTGGCTCTCTGGGCACCTTGCAGCACTCGTGTCCTCGCTGGGCGAAGGGGCTGTGCAAGGACCAGGCCCCCATGTCCCTTGCCTGCCTCTGCCTCTGACCTGGCATCTCGGGCGGGTGCAGCAGTGAGGGGTCGAGGGGCAGGGGTGGGAGCAGGCAGCGTCGCCCTGGCAGTAACGGGCCCTTTCTCCCCCGTGCAGTACTTCAAGTATGTGTTCCCGAAGGGGGTGGACTCGGTGATCGTGAAGGTGACCTCGGCCATGGCCTTCCCCTGCTCCGTCATCTCCATCCAGGACATCCTGGTGCGTAGTGGGGGGCAGGTGCTGGAATCCCTTTTTGTGCCCCCTCCCTTGGCCCAGGCACGGAGGCGCCGGCTGTTCTCTGCCGCTGACTCTGCTCCCTGCGGCCCCCGCAGTGCCCCGTCTATGACCTGGACAACAACGTGGCCTTCATCGGGATGTACCAGACCATGACCAAGAAGGCGGCCATCACCGTGCAGGTAGGGAGCGCCGGCTGCCGTCCCACCCGCTGGCACGGCTCTGCTGGCAGCAGTCTGCGAGCCCGGCCGCGCCGCGAGCTCCGGTGTCGGGTAGCATCAATTAGCAGAGGCTGGAGGTGTTATCGGAGAGACGCGCTTCCCACAGCCTTGCTTGC